AGTCTCTCGCGCGTTCTGTTCTTCGCGCCTGGCTCGGGCCCAAAAAGGCCTCGCCTCACCCCCCCCCCCTCTCTTACCTTGAACCGCGAGACTGGAAGGCGAACGATCGAGGCACGGTCGAACAAAACACACACACAGTCTTGCTCGATCCGCCGCGCGGCGATCGAGACTGCACCTGGAACGCTCGAAGCCGTTCGCGGATCCGTCCGCGACAACCTTGACGTAATCTTGACGACCGCGCGGGATCGTCGAATCGACGGATCTGGATGGAACTGTGGTAGATATATATATACCTGTCGGAGCGCGTCGGCGAGGATCGCGCGGCTCCTCGATCGCCGATCGAGCCAGAGCTGCGCGGACCGGCGCGATCGCTTTCGATCGTCGCACTGCTAAATATAGGAAACATCAAATGGTAATTCTGGCAACCCTGGCTCCGCGATCGAACGATGAAGTTCCCGTTCTCGCCGGCTTCGCTCGAATTCTGCGCGTTCTTCGGATCCTTCGTCTCTTTCTATCGAACGAAGAACGATCGAAGAGCCGGGAGAACGGTTTTCAAGTGCAATCTCGTTCGCGACAAATTAATACACACATACATAGAAAATACGTAATCGTAATGCAGATCGTGTTGATCGTGTCGCGGGTAGGACGTCGTCCTACGGGGACCGTCCGGGCGGGGCCCACCGTTCCGGCCCCCGACTCGCTGGCAGACGTTCGCCGCAGCGCCGCTGGACGCTGCACGGACGCCCCCACGTTCCCTCTGCAATTCTTCTAGCCGTGGCATCTTGGATCTCGGAAGAACTTCCAGTAGCGTCGCAACCCTGAAGAGGAATCACCGACGGGCTGGAAGGACCAGATGCCGGTTCGCCGGCCGGCAGAGCGCCCACGAGGCTCTCCCTGGTGCCGTTCCAAGCGTCGACGATCATCCTTCGAGTTCTGGCATCGCCCTCGTCGCCGGCGGCGACGACACGACGGGATCGTAACATCTATCGGAGACGGGAGACCAGCCTCCATCCGAGGTAGAGGGCCACCGTCGTCCACAGGGTTTCCCGCAACGGCGCCGGGATCAGCAACGACAGAAGGCTGTCCGTCGAGCCGGCGTTGCTCGCCGCCGGGTTGCTGCCCACGAAACCGGGGCTCAGCGTCGGCAGTCTTGACTTCTCGATCTCGGCGGCCTGCAACATGGAACAGGGCAGATCGTTTGTTAGTATATGCTGGTTATTGTTATACTATACTATTATATATTGTACTATACTATATACTATGCTATACTATATTATATATTGTACTATATGTTATATTGGGTTGGCAACTAAGTAATTGCCGATTTCAGTTATAGATGTCTCTCACTCCCATTTTTATGATATCCGTGAATGTTATATTATAAAATTATTATTATTATTATTATTATTATTATTATTATTATTATTATTATTATTATGTTATTTTTTATTATACGCGAATGTTAGCAACTGGACAAATTGAATGCAGCGGTCGAGGAAAAGCGAGCAGAATTGGTCAATCGTAAAAGTGTCATTTTCCAGCAGGACAATGCTAGACCGCACACGTCTTTGTCCACTCGGCAAAAATTAATGGATATTGCTTGGGAATTGATGTTACACCCACCATATAGCCCTGATCTCGCGCCATCGGATTACCACTTATTTCGATCCCTGGACAACTCCCTTCGTGGTAAAACTTTGAATGATGATGACGCTGTAAAATCTCACTTAACTCAGTTTTTGGCCGAAAAGGATCAGACTTTCTACGAGCGTGGAATTTTCAAGTTGTCAGAGAGATGGCAAAAGGTCATCGAACAAAATGAAAAATACATTCATTCCAAGTAAAAAAGAATTTTTTATTTTATTAAACAAATCGGCAGTTGCCAACCCAATACTATACAGTATGTCACAAAAATGTCTCGCAATCCGAAAGTGGCGGGTTCCTCGGGTCATTCGAAGCAACTTTTTCTGTTACAAAAATTTTCTCCGAGGCACCGTTAATGAGTTATTAACGAAAAACAGTGACCAATGAGAGGCGAGCTCGGCCGCCGCGCCAGGCAGTCTTGCGCCAGCCAAGCTCACCTCCCATTGGTCGCTGTTGTTTCGTTAATAACTCGTAAACGAAGTCTTGTAGAACATTTTCGCAAAGGAAAAAGTTGCTTCGTATCAGCTCAGGAACCATTACCCGGAAGTACCATAATTTCGGGACATCCTGTATAGCTCCGGGATCGATCTCGATTCACGATCTCGGACCGATTAATGTTTCAACGTGGCTTCGTTCAATCCTCCTCGAGGAATTAATAATTCCTCGGCGAAGCTCCTCGGGCCGTCGAACAATCGTGCTCGTTGGCGGTATATCGATGGTCTTCGTCGAGCCGGTTTCGATCCTTAATGACTAATTGGATAATGAA